TTATTCATTAATTTTTATAAGGAAGGTACTCTTGTTTCTGTTTTTCAGTAGAGAAAATGAGACACAGGGAAGTTAAGTAACTTGCCCAAGATTACCCAGCTAGTATTGAAACCAGGTTGACAGAAATAATTGTTTTTATTTTTCTATTTTGTAAACATGTATTTGATTATCTCAGTTAAAACACTGTTTTGATTCTAAGTTGAAAACAGACCATTTGTACCATTGCTATAAATATGTTTGCCATTAACTGCATCTGCAATGGAATAGTTCCTATCTACATAGATATTCTGTTTTCCTTTGGAAAATTAACAGTGATTTTACTGACACAGAGTGTTTTGTTCTGTTCAATGCTCTGATTATTAATACTAACGATAGGTAAATTTTTATTGTCTACATAGTTACTGATATACTGTCAGCTTTTCTGAATCATAAACAGTCTTTGTCTATCATGTTTTTTGCCTCAATTCTTTCTTGTGACATCTAGTATTTCACATTCAGTTTTCCTTTCACTCAAAGATGTTTTTCCCTAGATTTTATACGATACATGTATAACAGCAGTATTTCTTTTTAATCTACTGTAAAATTCAGCATTATTCTCAGATTTTACATTCCCATCCTCAGGCATATACATATCTCCCTCCCCCCTCCCCAACACACACACAAGTTCACCTTTTTTTTTTTTTTTTTTTTTAATGTTTTTCCTATTTTTTTTTTAACCCTTTGCACTCCGCTGTCCCCTCTCAGGGGACATCGGAATTCTAGCATATCACTCGGATCTCCCCTCTCAGGGGACATTGCAGTTTATTAGTGATTACGGGGAATTGAGTTAATTCAACGCACGTTTCCGCCGTTAGCGTCGAGTAGCTGGTAGCCAATGTCCAGAATGGTTCGGAGTGCAAAAGGTTAAATATATATTTTATTGATTTTTTTACAGAGAGGAAGGGAGAGAGATAGAGAGCTAGAAACATTGATGAGAGAGAAACATCGGCCAGCTGCCTCTTGCACGCCCCCTACTGGGGATGTGCCCGCAACCAACGTACATGCCCCTGACCGGAATTGAACCCGGGACCTTTCAGTCTGCAGACCAATGCTCTGCCACTGAGCCAAACCGGTTTCGGCGTTTTTCCTATTCTTGTTCATCCTTGAGGAACAAATCCTAACTGCTACTCAATTACATATTAGAGAATCTTCAGAGAAAATTATCTATGAGTATGTATTTGTTTAACTCTAGATATCTGTAGAGCAATTGAATTGTTGGAAAAACTACAAAGGAGTGGGGAGGTACCACCACAGAAACTTCAGGCTTTACAAAGAGTCCTGCAAAGTGAATTCTGCAATGCTGTAAGAGAGGTGAGTACATGGGATTAAAGCTTACTAAAAACTTGAGTAAATTAGATAAGATAATACTCTGAAATTTGCGTTCAGAATTTCTTAAACTTTAGAAAAACATTAGAACCTAATTTTTGAAATTTCTGTTAGACAAACATTTCACAAAGATGCATAGTTTAACGTAAAATTTTAGCACATTCATTAACTTCGTACAACTTAAGCATGGTGTTTTCTGAGATTTAAAATCACAAACTTTGTGTTTTGTAGGTATATGAACATGTCTATGAGACTGTGGACATCAGCAGCAGTCCTGAAGTGAGAGCTAATGCTACTGCAAAGGTAAAGTTTTTCATTTGCTAAAAGTGAGAAAATTCTTTTAAAATTTGAGGTTTTAATATACAATTATTAGATTCATTATAGGCTTATTTTGAAAACTAACAACGTCTTTCAACCTATACTGGACCATCTCAAGTACTAAGAAATAGGATCTTTTTTTATTGTCTTTACAAAAGATAATCCATCATGCAGATTAGATAATACATTAAAAATGCAGTTGCAGCCGAAACCGGTTTGGCTCAGTGGTAGAGCATCCGTCTGCGGACTGAAAGGTCCCAGGTTCGATTTCGGTCAAGGGCATGTACATTGGTTGTGGGCACATCCCCGGTAGGGGGTGTGCAAGAGGCAGCAGGTCGATGTTTCTCATCGACATTTCTAGCTCTCTATCTCTCTCCCTTTCTCCTCTCTGTAAAATATCAATAAAATATATATATTTTTTTAAAATGCAGTTGCACACAAATAATAATACACATATCATAAAATATATAGCAGTATACAGTATGCATATTTAATTGTATCATTGATTGTATATATTTTCATTAAAGGTTTGATGTATGAATTATCCTCATTTTATTGGTGAGAAAGCATCAGACTGTTACCTGCCTCAGACCACACAAAAAAAAAATGGTAGACTTTGGAGGGATGCTCCCCTGGTTTCTCTTTGCTTTCTTTACCTTCACTCTGCAAAGATGTGGTAATGTCACTAGTAGATTATCTCTTCAGAGCTATAGAGGTGGCAGGCCTCCTGTGCTTTCTCATGTGGGAATTTCCTCAGTAATTCCTACATGAACTCAATGTCCATATCTAGTTAGAATAAGTTAATGTCAGCAGTAAGTGATTTATATTAGAATTAGTTATTAGCAGGTAATTTTTCATTGAGAGTTACTGGTTTGCGTAAGGAAATACTGGATCCTCTGTTGAATACAAACACTTAAACATGGGGGTGTAGTTTGACAGAGTAGAAAAAACACAGAAACTTGGCTTTATATATATTTTATTGATTTTAGAGAGGAAGGGAGAAAGAGAGAAATAGAAAAATTAATGATGAGAAAGAATCATTGATTGGCTGCCTCCTGCACGCCCCCAGTGGGGACCGAGCCCGCAAACCAGGCGTGTGCCCCTGACCGGAATTGAACCTGGGACCCTTCATTCCCTAGGCCGACACTCTATCCCCTGAGCTAAACCAAGGAGGGCTAGAAACTTGGCTTTTATTCCTGAGTTATATGATTTTCACAGCTTACTGAATATCTGAGCCTTAAATCTAGTAGTAACTAGATAGTTAACTAAAGCAACAAGAAAGTCCATGTTTATATGTACTCTTTTTCTCGATATTGAGTTATTTCTTATGAGTTTTTTAGTGTCAATAACAAATGGTACAGCAGCCAGAGGACACCTACCTCCTTACAGGTTACGTAGATAGGCTGTGTCCTGCACAAAGGCCTGTGAAACAGCTGGGCTCTCCAGCCCCAAATCTCAGACTGCTGGCACACGCGTGAAGAGGCTCTCCTCTTTAATGGCAGTGCTCATTGCCTACAAGCCTGCCTGCCAACTACTGCACAGTATTTCTGGGACCTGGATCCACTGACCTGAACACCTCCTACACAGTCCCAGTTATCTCCTCTAAAACACCATTCTCCTAAGCTCACCTTCTCAGAACCGCCAATGAATTTGTGGGTATTCAAACATCAAATGTGTGCGCCTCAAAAATAGGTAAAAGATGTAAGAGCTGAAATAAAGGTGATATATTTAAACGTAAAGTTTTGTTCCAGGCTACTGTTGCTGCATTTGCTGCCAGCGAAGGACATTCTCATCCTCGAGTTGTTGAGCTTCCAAAAACGGAAGAGGGCCTTGGGTTCAATATCATGGGAGGCAAAGAACAAAACTCTCCAATCTATATATCTCGAATAATTCCAGGAGGAATTGCTGATAGACATGGGGGCCTCAAGCGAGGAGATCAACTTCTCTCTGTTAATGGAGTGGTAAGGATGTTTTATTTACTTCTATTTGTAGTAATGTGTTGTGACCACTTGGGGGAGTACATGAGTTATAGAAACAGAAAATATAAGGGGGCAAAGCTTTGCAGTTTAGAAATCCCTCAAAGGAATCCCAGGCAGTACTGTTTAGTACAGTGATACAGTTTAAAGGCTTTATGTGTGTTTAGCTTTTTTCCAGTGAAAACTAGCAATGCTTAGTGTGATTTTTATGAAGCAATTAAGCTGTTTAGTAGTAAAGGCAGTGTGTTAAATTAGAAGTCTACCCCTCATTTTGGTCTTATAGAATGGTGGAATAATAGAGTATGTAAACTTATGTGCTGTTATTTAGATCTTAGAAACCAGTTCTTGGACTACAAATAATATATTTAGCAGAGGGTTTCACACTGATTAAAATGGTAAAGCTAGGTTATTTCATAGGTTTATAGTATTGAAATGATATAACATTAAAACTTTTTTACTTGCATGTATTTGAAGCATTTTTGCATTTTGAATGAATTGTAAAACCTATATATTAATTGTGTGTGTGTATTTTTTTCTAGAGCGTGGAAGGAGAACATCATGAAAAAGCTGTAGAACTGCTGAAAGCAGCTCAAGGAAAGGTTAAATTAGTAGTGCGATATACACCTAAGGTCTTAGAAGAAATGGAGTCACGTTTTGAAAAAATGAGATCGGCCAAACGCAGGCAGCAGACCTAATGCAGTTCAGAACTTTATATTCCATTTTGCTTTTAGCTAGAGAAGTTTTACTTGTGACCTACTGATGGCCGCAATGCCAACGATTATAAAGAAAAACAAACTTACCGTGAACTGCTCCTTGCCATTTTATAAATGCCTATTTTAAAATCATTTGTGGTTCCAGAGATGCATACACTTTTTTCTGACAAGAAAAAGTAAAAGGTGATGAGGGCAATTTTGTCCTGCTCTTTTTACAGGCCTTTTTCAAATGCAGATTTTGTCATAAAGTTGTTATAGATTTTTAATAATGCTTTTTAAATATTAAGATGTACTTTTACATTCTTAATCTTTTTTTAGGAAAAAAGGTTCTTCATTTGGCTGCTTATCCTATATAATAAAAGCCTAATATGTTAAGTGTATGGTTGTCCGGTCATCCGTTCAACCAATCAAAGAATAATATGCTAATATGCTAAGGCCGCTCAACCATTCACTATGACATGCACTGACCACCAGGGGGCAGACAGTCGACCAGTTGCTATGACCATAAGGGGGCAGACGCTCTGACCAGTAGGTTAGCTTGCTGCTGGGATCTGGATGATCAGGACTGAGCAAGAAGGGCCAGACATGCCCTGGAGCCCACCCACCCTCCCTCCCTGACTCCAATCATGCACCCATGGGGTTCCTTGGCCTGGCCTGCACCCTCTCGCAACCTGGGGCCCCTTTGGGGATGTTGGAGAGCCAGTTTTGGTGCCGCCATAAAAGGGTAATGTGCAAATTGACTGAACAGCAGAACAACTGGTTGCTATGATGCACAGAGCACCAGGGGCAGACACTCAATGCAGGAGCTGCCCCCTAGTGGTCAGTGCACTTACACGGGAACACTGCTCAGCCAGAAGCCCTGAGCCGGGCCCACAGCTGGCGAGCTCAGTGGCGGTGGCAGGAGCCTCTCCTGCCTCTGCATTAGTGCTAAAGATGTCCAACTGCCAGCTTAGGTCTGCTCTCTGGAGGGAGCAGAACTAAGCCATCAGTCAGACATCCCCTGAGGGCTCCTGGACAGAGAGGGTGCAGGTCGGGCTGAGGGATCCCCCCCAAAAAAATAATAGTTCTCGAATTCTTTATTTGCTTACTTTTTTTTTTTTTTTAACCTGTAAAACTTCTTTATAGTTTTCAAAAAAAAAAAATACATGACAGTTTCAGTTACAGCAGTTTATTACACTATCAGTGTTAGCATTGCTGCTGCATTTTGTACTTTGAACACACATATATAATCATTGGTAAGTCATAGCACAGTGGAAGTTTTTTACTTTTATTATTTAAACATAATGTATAGTGAATACTCATTTGTACTGATTTATAAAAGTAAGTTTTTAAACACTGAAACAATCATTGCTAAAATATGTATTCTTTCATAGTGTTTGAGCAGCAAGGCAAGAGGATGTAATTTGTGTGTTAGCATTACTGATTAGGTCTATTTATATTCAACAGTATGTCAAATTACAAATGCAAAAACAGGTTCAGGTTTCATCTTTTGCAAATTTTTTTAATGCTATTCATTTCTATTTAAATATATTTTTTATATTTTGGTCCTTTCATTCCTAGAGATGAGCCATTTAGTTTGTGGTGGGAAATAGCAGAAGCAAAGATGAAAAAGTAATACTTTCATCTCATTAGTCTCAAGAGTTAACACACTTTACCAGTTCCATTTAAAGCATGGACTTTTTAAGGTTGATTATTGGAGGATATATGTAATAAGATGTATAGAAATTATGAATAAGAATCTGCAGATTGTCGAGACGAGTAGGAACTTATATTACAGTGGTTTGATTTAGAGATGGAGTCTTTGTTTATGATTCAAATATGATAGGAATTGTGAGAGATGCTTTCAGTTGTCCACTGGATGTCACTATTTTACTGAAAGGCAGCTATTGGTAAAGGAATGTGATTGAACTCTTTAAAAGCTGGAATTAAAGAATTGAGGGTCATTTTCAGTGAATAACTTAGGAACATTTTTAAGTGAAAGATATTAAAAGATAGTGGTTTGAAATATATAAGGAATTTAGACCCTGTATAAGAAGTGGGCATTTTGAAACATTCCTTCAACAAGACTATAAATGTATACTTTTTCTTGCATGTTTGTGAGCATTGTGAGTCTTAAAAGATTATTCCAGTTTTCAGTGGTTTTTTCAGAATAAAAGTCAATTGGCATTGTTATTTATCGTTAGGTATTGAACACTGGATTGCATGGTTGGATGTGTCTTCGGTCCACTACAAAATGTGCTTGTTATTAATGGGAATGCTGTTAAATTGTATATTTTCAAAATTAATTAATGTTTTTAAAATGTTGAGACCAAAGTAGTGTAGAATAATTATGGGCTTAATTTAATTGTAAAATTGTTAGAGGTATTTCTTGTAGAGTTTTATATATTAAAGAGAGCTATTGGTGCATATAAAACTAATGTTGTTATGCTCGTATTCTTGCATTACAAAGTAAACCCTAAAGAAACCTTATTTTAGTACAGCTACAGCTGCAGTAGCTTTTAAGGGCGCGTCCACATTCCGTTATAAATTAGAGCTTCCTTGTTCAGTATCTCAGCTGTTCCAGAACTTGCAGCCGAGTTAAATCTTTTTTGGTGTTGAAACTTAATAAGTTGAGTAAGCTATTTTTTTTTTCTTCTACAGTAATCCACAATCTGTTCTTCGTGTGGGTTGGCGCTTATTTATAATTCTTAAAATAAAGATAGCTTAAAAGAGCCAAATACACTAGTTTTGCTTGCTACTGTTAAGCATGAGTAGCAGTAGTTTGTTTTTGTTAAAACAGTTTTCACAGTGTATCCCAGAATTTTAAATTCTGACCATAGAAAATTTAATCATTCAGTGGCAGAGATGTACAGTAAGTAGTAGTTTGCTATCGTGAGGAAATGAAGGAATTTTTCATTTTATAAATCAATGTATAATTCATGAACATAACCAGGCACATAGTAAGTATATAATAGATGTTTGATTTGTGAAATATAAATATAATTATCCCCTCTCCCCAGTTCCTTTTTTTTTGGCAGGGGGAAGGGGAGAGGTATTTCAAAATGGGTTGGTTCTGAACCTTAGCTGCATATTAGAACATCCTGCAGACACCAACTAAATCAGAATCCTGGGGGTGGGACCAGATTCTTGTTTTTTTAAAGCTTTTCTTGTGGTTCTGAAAGACATACGGCTGAGAATCACCAATTTTCCCCTTTATAAAATGCTGTAAATACACTGGACTATGTTTGAAAGTATCAGAATAGAACAACTTATAGCTACTATTAAGTAGCAGATAACAATGATTGGTTATATTTCTTAATTTCTTTGGGAATAAAAGATACTTGGCATTCTTTATTTCGGAAATAATTATAGTCTTTTTAAAAAAAAAAGTAATAAAATTTGAAAGTAATTTAAACAAACTTTTAACGTCTGCCATCTTTTTGCTCTCTTTGCCTTTTTAAATTTTACAAAAATAAATGTTTATCATTTGGAAAAGCATGTTTAAAAATTGCAGATGAGAAATAAAGTCATTGATAATTACGTGTTGTCTTAACATGGGACGCTTTATCTGTTAGCAATATACTAGATTATAGTGGCCTAATTCTTTGGGGTTTGATAATTGAAATGTTTTTTTTTTTTTAATTGTCTTATAAATTTTTGGAAATTATTTTGTTCAGATGCTTAACATAGTTTGGCTCAAGTACTTTGTTTACAATTTAAGTGGATATTATAGCATTTAATGGAAGAAATGGTTATGGTATATTTGAGAAGAATGTCAGCATGATGGTGTAGACTTAAAAGAATACATGTGAATATTTTATAATGTGGAATGGTCATTGAAATGTTAAGAACTCAAGTAATTGTATTTCCTGAATAAATGTATGTTTATGAATTTTCTAACTTTATTTTGTTGTCTCTTCTGGTAGCAACATTTCCAAACTTTTACTTAGTGTTTTTTTTCAAAGATCATTGTATTTCTGTGATAGAGAAAAACACAAAACAAATTGCTTGCTCATTAATTTTCAGGAACTTCCAAACTGATATGTATCTGGACATAGTTTTAAAAAAAATATTAGCAAGCAGCCTAGCTGGTGTGGCTCAGTGTTTGAACTTTAATCCAGGAACCAAGAGGTCACCAGTTTGATCCCAGGTCAGGGCACTTGCCCAGGTTTTGGGCTCAGTCCCCAATAGAGGGCGTGTAGAAGACAGCCAATCTATGATATGAGACTTTATAGTTTTAGGTAAAGAAATAGAATATTCAAAATGGATTTAAGACTTTCAATACATGACTTCATTTACCAATTCTGATTCTAAGCCTTATTAAAATAAATTTGTATTATGCTCTTTGGATTAAAAAATTGATATAACTGTACAATAGATATGTTTCTGAAAGTTACGTGTAAAATAACTTCTAAGTGAGGTAAAAGTAAAATCTATGTGGGTTACTGGAATGAAACTTCAAATGCTTCCATTTTCCTTGGTCTTTCATAAAACAACTACATAAAAGTGACCTTGTGTTAAAAAAGGGGAAATGGCAGGTGACTGAGAACACAGAATCTGGAACCTGACTGCCCTGGTTTAAATCCCAGGTTCACTGTTACTGTGTTACTGCACAAGTTACTTAACTTCCCTGATCCTTAGTTCCCTCAACTGTCACGTGTAATAATGCCTGTAAGTGTCATTACCCGAAAAGCTCTTAGAAAGGTGCGTGGCATAGGAAGTGCTGTTGGTGTTTGCTATTATTTTCATGTGAAGTAGCATCAGGATCTTAACTAAAGGAAGACATTGTGGCCTGTAATTAAAATTAGCAAGTTGTTATTTCTTATGCTGAGAAAAAGAAAACAAGATAACCTTGACAACTTTAAAAGGAGTAAGATTCATAAGAAATTTTAAGATTACTGTCAACTCTGATCAAACTCCTGGAATTCTAAAATAAGTGAGGTTCAGGGTGGGAGGAGAGTTGAAATCATATATAGAATGAAAAATAAGAATGTCTCTTTAAACCCTAACCAGTTTGGCTCAGTGGATAGAGTGTCACCTATGGACTAAGAGTCCCAAGGTTTGATTCCAGTCGAGGGCACATGCCTGGGTTGTGGGCTCTGTCCCCCCCAGTGGGGGATGTGCAGGAGGCAGCCAATCAGTGATTCTCTCTTATCATTGATGTTTCTAGCTCTCTCCCTGAAATCAATAAAAATAAATAATTTTTTAAAAGAATGTCTCATTAAGGAACCTGAATCAGAAAAGCAATTGGTAGGGGGTCTGTGACCCAGCTCTAGAGACAATGGGTTGTTGGGATGGATGTCTGACATTACAAGGTGTGATTCACCATCATGAACTTTTTATGTATATTCTTTATTTCTGACAGTGTGTGCTTAATTTCTGACTGGTCCTTTTCCTTTTTTTTTTTTTTTTTTTTTTTTTTTGGCATTCTCATTAAGATCCTTGAAGGTCTCTCTAAATTCCTCGGAGGTCTCACTAAGTTTCTTGGCGGTTTCTAGAAGATTCTTGAGAAACCTTATAACTGGTTTTGAACTCTATATCCAGTAGTTTGCTTTCCTCCTTTTTTTTTTTTTTCATTCGTGACATGTTTCTTTGTCTCCGCATTTTGGCTGCTTCCCTCTGTTGATGGAATGACTTTGTGTGGTAGGTGACCTATAGGG